CCTTAAACTTACTTGCTACACAAGATGCATCAATTCTTCATCTGTAGAATTTGTACAAGTTGTTCTGCCTCACTCAGCTCATACCTCATTAGGTCACAGAATTCAGATATAACTTTTCCCACTGGAAAAAGAGAGATTTCTATAGTATAGTAGTATAAAATGTAATGCTTTATACTTATTTTGGTGGAGGAAATACAGAAATTTTTATATACATATCTGAGAACTTTTGTGATTATTTCATAAACACTTGAGAGTACCCTTGTAACTTTCTGGTTTAAAAATACGTATTGCTATTTGATAGAAAACAACTTAAAATAAATGTGAAAACAAAATATCTACAATGGAAGCACAGATCCCAATCCCACACATAAAATGCTCAAATTAACTGGAACTGATTGTGCACTAATATCCCAAATATGGTCTGTATACTTAATACAATTGAAAAAAATCATAATCTATCATTTTTCTATGTTTTCTATATATGCTTCATAGCTTTAACAGTGATAGGCTCAGCAATTATAAAACATACTTCATAACACTAATGAGTTTATTATTCTTAACTGTATAAGGGCAGGAAGGTAAAAGTACTGTTCTCTATTTTCTTAGGAGTTCTTAAACTGCCTTTTTATAAGAGTTAGAATGCCAGCCAGCAACTAGGGATAGCATATGTGTAAATCAATAGTAGGACATAGTGCATCCCTGGCCTCATAGACAAAATGTTAGAGAGAGAAAATTGCTTCAAAAGCTAGTCAGAATTTCCAGTGGGAAAAGGTGAACATACCCAGATAGAGTAGCCATAACTAACGATGAGAACATGGGAGTGGGAATCAGATCTCCTGCATGATATTCCCTGGTATTGAGGAGCATAAGCAAACATTTTGTTTTCCCTTAGCCTCATTTATAGATCTGAAAACTGTGGAGCTGGATCATTTAATACAGCTAAGGTGCTTAAATAAAGGGAGCACTATGTCCATCGCTTTCTTCTGGCAAGATACTACTATTAGTGTCCTATGCAGCACAAATAACTTCTGATATGTTAGGCATATTCCATTACAAAGGTCTGTGCTTGTGCTCCCAAAACTTCCACTGCAACAATAAAACACTTGCCCTTGGCTTCAACAGAGGTACAAATAAGTTTGATGTGTTTTTTCTGACAACAAATAAATATTAAATAATATGGGATTAGGCATGTAACAGAAGTATTCCATGGGCATTTTCACTATTAACAAGCACGCTGCTTTTGCAGGATGCTCATCATCTTTTATTCCTGCTGAACTGGCATGAAAAGTCTTTGGAATAAGTGGAGTTAGTTAAAAAAAAAAAACAAAGAAACAACACTTCTCATTTTTAATTCACTGCTAGGCAAGATAGAGGTATCTTCATGTTGTTTTACTAAAATAAAATAGTCTAGAGGTGAGAAGGAGGGTTAGCTTATTTTGGGAGGTTTAGGATAATTTTACATAATTAGGTAAAAAAGACACATGTTTTGAGTTCTTCCAGAGGAAACCATCTTAACACTTCTACCAGGCAGATAATTCTTTCTTTTGCTCAGAAAGCACCGATCCACGCAACAGCAGTGAAAGTCGCTGTTTCAAATCTTGCTTAATGACCCACAGCACAGAGAAAGGATATCAGGAACTCGTTACTGTCATTTGTATTGCAAAAATAAACGTTAACATATGAGGTGTAAAATAATTCCAGGCAATTCTTGTTGAATGACAATATACAAAACAATTTGCAGCCAGTTGTTTCTTGGCCTCTCTCCTGGCTCGGTACTCAAGCAAAGTTCCCATGATTTCTGGGGAAGCAGCTAGCTGGGACTGCTTGCTGTTCAGATCTGCAGATTAAGCAGAATTTGCTCCATTAAAACCTGTACTTGACAAAACATTAATACTGAGTGCAAAGCACAAGCTGGAATTTTTTATTTTACTTCAGATAAAAACAAAACTTTTCATATACAGAAATATTATTTAGAGCTCAGGGATACTGTAAGTTGTTGTTAGGTATAATGATTTGTAAAAATAAAAATAATTAATTTTAATTAATGAAATAAGTACCATTTTTAAATGCTCACTCTAATATAGATTCAAACTGCACAACAGAAATTTTTTCTTTAGTCCTTTGTAAAATGGCATTGTCTGCATTTTTCAGCCTTTAACCAGTAACACCCTGCTGTTACTATTGGCCTCTTTTGTGAAGAAGACCAAACTGGGATTCCCTCCAGAAACAAAATTCCTTAACCTTTGCAGAATTCCATAACCGTCTAGAGGGCAATTCTTACTGTTCTCCCTTTCCAGAGCTGAAAGAGCTGCCTCTGTTGCCCTGCTGAATGATAAAAGGGATCAGGGTACAACCACAGCTCAAAAGGATTCTGAAAAGTAACTTGTTAGTATTTTTATGTTCTTTTGGGGGTGCAAAAGTACATCCTGATCTTTCTCTCTCACTCCATTCCTCAATGCTTAGGATGAAATCAGAAAAATCCTTCTACAAGCCCTATCTGTTAGTCAGATTCTGATCTACTGTTTAAAAACTTGCACAGATTCCAAAATTTTACTTAGTACGGAACCGAAGAAACATAAATTACAAAGTTTTCTTTCTTCATGGCAGACCTTAAAGCTGAGAAGCCAGTTCTCCAGGTTTAAGAATGTCTTTTTAATTGCACCCACCAGTGGCTGTTTTCACAGATCTTTACCTATTTCCCTCTGTTCTCAATACATGTGTACAGTGAGATAAAGAAGAAAACTGGGTATTTTAAGAAATAAATAACCGAAGGCATGCACAGCACTACTGTGGTACTTGTCAATTAAACAAAAGGTTCCAGAGCTAGTAAGATCAGGGAGTTTTAAAGTGTTCATATACTAAATGACTTTTTTTTTATTTAGAAGCATTTTAAAAAACAATATCCACTCGTAATACCAACAGAAATAGTCTAAATGCTTCGAATAATGCTTCAGGAAAAAAAAACAGGTGCGCTTTATAGTTTACTTTAGGATGGAAATAGTGCATAATCTAAACAATATGATTACACCTTACTCTTCTAGTGATCACCGGTAAATTCATAGTCTGACTCCATAGGTTACCCATCAGAAAACATAACCCTAAGCTACAGCACAGCCTTTATTGCATACCTCGTCACTGATTTATTATAATCACCAAGGCCTGTTACGCATCTTGACATAACTGGGCATTAATAAAGGAGAGCTGCATTAGTCCTGCCTTTATAAATGTTTCTGGAATGCACTGGTATTATTTTGGCATGCTGTTTCAAATTGAAGATATGTGCCCTGCTGTAATGCAGTTGAGCTTTTCTTCATATAAACCACTTGTGCTTAAGAGAGCTCTAGCTGAACTTAAGCTGGTTTGTGCAGCAATTACCAGATATTACAGACAGTTTTAAGTCAATCTCTTTCAAGTCCCAAATTAACAGAAGATTTTTCTTTCTCACTATACAGATCATGCCAGTCTTCCTCAACACACCGTGGAGTTCTCATATTGCTTTCCTGTTTGGCAATACGCTGATGTGGTTTCGCAAAAGCTTCCCTTTTTCCTCCCTCAATAAACTACTGAATATTATCAGGCGGTCAGACAGGTCTTTTGCGCACGTTAAAGATATACAAATATTTTGCAGATTCCAGCATTAAAGGCCCTGTCTTAAGATTCTCCTGAAAAGGAAATGAGGCTTTATCTTAATCATCTAAAACTATAATTACATCTGCATTATGTACACTATAACTTTACTGTTCAACTCATTACACATCTTTTCCTAGTGACAATGAAGCTATTATAATCAGGTTAGAGAGCAGCAAGAGTCAATATAAAACGTTTTACTCTAATTAATTATGGCTAGGGTCCAGTTATGCATCTGCCTCTTCAACCTGGCTGCAAATACTTGTTCCATGTTTTACTTCATCTGTGCCACTAACATGCCAGAAACCCCGCAACAGCGTGGCTCAGAGAGAGTAATACTATGTCTCAATTTACCACAACAGACCTTGAATGACAGCTACAGTGTCCCTTGATATAGAAGTCTCTAAAATTCCTAAGAACAGTTCAGGTGTGACAGATGTCAGAGCTACATGGGCTAGGTAGTTTAACAATACACAAAATGACTAAGGAAAAAGCTCACACTTAATAATTTTTGATTAAACACAGAACTACATACAAGTAAACCAGCAATAAATGTCAATATTTTGGCCTCTGGCCTGTGATGATGGAGTTTCGCAGAACTGATATGAATCAGAGAAGCAGGACAAGGGTGCATCACTTTGCATCATTCTGTCAGACATTGAGGCAGCATTTTCCCTGCCATATACAGACACATACAGCCATCTAAAACAGATATAAACATAAGGGAGGGTAAGTAACCCTTCTCCTCACCAGAAGATACTCCTCTGTCGTAACCTACACACACAGTTCTGTCTCAAGAACTCCTTGGAATTTTTCCTGCACTATTATTTCCAGGAAGAAAGATCAGTGGCATCCTGAATTACAGGGCAAAGAAGTTTCTGAAGAGCTTGCATTTGTTGCAGGAAAATCAAAGAACCATCTTGCAAATTCTGCTCCTGTCACTGACGACTGACTACTGAACTACTCCTAAAATCCTCCCTTTGTGTATGCTCATTCTGTCTTTACTTTCCTTCTCTCTTTATAAGAAAACATGCAGTTTAAAACTCACTTAAAAGAGACCCCAGTAAAATTATCTGTATTTTTGTTAGTTTGAACAAATTTATACAATGCATGCGGGAGAAACAGAAATATTCTGTTTCTCAGACCAGAGATAGGCTGGAATATATAACCCTACCAGCTGCCAGCACCAAATTCTACAACTCCTTTTTCGCAAATGACTGTACCTAATACTGTTCGCTTTGATTTTCAGAGAAACCCATGTAAAACATCTTATGTCGGTTTGCATTGTGTATGCTGCATGTGCTTGATGCCCAAAGCAATAATTGTTATTTAAGTGCCAGAAGGGGTTGGGATTTTTTTCAGTCTGCATATGGTCTCCACAGCTTTTTCCAGCATGTTAGTAATCTCATATTTGTTAATCACGTTGAGAAGACTGCAGTTAAAAGCAGAGCACTGTGAAGTTATCAGAAGTATGTGCACAGAACTTGCAATGCCCTCTAGTGTTTCTTGCTTGCAAATCAAAATTTATAGACTGCAAATTTGTTAGCATGGTTGGTTAGTTGTATTTGTAAGTCCCTCTGTAGATACTGAAAACAAACCAATTGTAAATACAGCCATACCATGAAACATAGAAGTTTCATAGAAGCACTGTCCTCAACTGAGCTAGGCTGCAGAATTTTTTTGGTGTTTGAAATTAAAACTGTGAATAGCAGGCCTCCTGACTTCTCTTGCAAAGACCCTGTTTACCGGATAACCCATGCATTCATGACATGCCAGCACAAGAAATGTGATGTATCAACAGTCACGCAGTGAGAAAGAAGCCATGACACTACCTATAGCTAAGGAGTGGATCTTCCAGGGGGTTGGGAACAGGGTTAGACAGCTTTGTCTCTGCAGTGCCACAGTCTTTCAGCTCTGCGAATCTATGCACTGGATCAAGATGACCAAGTGCACCTGCTGTACAGAAAAAAACTGAGGATGTAGGAGACTGTCAGATCAAAGTGACTTGATAAGATAGATGGCAAACAAATGGCTGAGGTTTCAGAGACCAGAAGAAACTAAAGTTACACTACACTAAGATTTCATCAACTAGTTAGCAATTTCAAAAAATAACACTTATTTTTAGAGCTGTGAATGCTTTGATTTCCTGATACGTTGTGCCGCAGCAGTAATGTATCATTACAGCCCTATGCCCAAGCTAACCAGCTTTGATCATATTTTTAGGGTCAAAGAGGTATCTCATACAGTATAACTTTTATTGTGTAAGTTTTTTGGTTTGGCAGCTGAGAGATCTGTACCCTCCTGCTGTGGGCACTCATGAAGATATGCCCTCAGTAACTCCTAAGATGAACTTCCTGGTCAGCAATTTCAGATCATAAAGCTGCTTAGTTCTGCCTCATTAATCTGAAAAAATACCAATTTTAGATGGTTTTAATACTTCAAACACATACAATGAAAACAAATAAAAAAAAATCCAAACTAATCTAGTGACAAACTCATAAGTAATCATTCATGTCCCAGAATCACATACAAATTTACCTAGCTACTGGCTTCTTTATTTTATGAATGTATCAGTGTTTATTTTACAAATGTATTGAGTTTATGAAAATAATTTTCTTACTTTAAAATAATTCTAGACAAGCATCTTTGAAAAGTAACATAATCAAAACAGTGACACAAAAAGTGATGTTTAATGGACAAAGTGATCATAATGTTACTATCGGTCACCAAGGAGGAATGAATGTTAAACTGCAACATGCTCTTCACAGTAAGTAAAGTAACAGTCACCACCAGTTAACCCTTTTGGCAATATATAAAGTTTTATGGCAATTTGTCATTCAATAGCTTCAGCATTCAACAGTTTCAGCAGGAATAAAACTAGGCTCAGTGTTTTTCCCAAGAGGTTTTATTTACTGCTAAAGGGAAAGGTAGGTTAGGAGAAACATAGCTAAGCTGTGGGGAAAGGAATTTCTTTTTTTTTAGTTTTAATGCTGAGATGTCAGTTTCCTTTTATTGTTTGTGCAGTCCTCAGAATCAGAAAGCCTTAAGAGTGACAGCGCAGCTGGAGACTGAAATCTAACCTGTAATTCGAGGTAGCTTCGAGATGCAGCTGGAAGTTAGGCTTCCTCCTGGGATGTCACATACAAAGGAATTTTTATACTTTTCATGGGCTTCAACGGAGGACTGTATAAATATCAATCAGGAAACAGATGACTTAAATACAAGATGCTATCTTTAATTCTTTTATTTGCAGAAATAAATATATAATGCCTAGAAATTGAGTTCTTGGGGATACACCCTCAGGCACTGAACTTCCCATTGATTCTGACAGGTTTTAGGCATCTGAAGTATTTTCAGTATGTAGGTCTTAACCTCAATTATGCTTTCAATTCCAAGCACCATGAGGAAGGGCAGAAATAATCAGAAACAAAGAAAAAGAGCAATGAAGTTCACTTTTGGGTGTAGTTCTTCATCATCCTTAAATCTACACCAGCTGAGGAAAAGTCTAGAAATCAGATTTTAATTGATAACTTTTTACACATGCCCAGAATTTTTAAGTTCAAGAACATGTTTTAATGTCCCTAAAACTCTGTAAATAATAAATATTTAGAAAAATAAGAGCCTATAAGAAAGAAGGGTCAGGAAGCATAGAGACAGTGAAAACGTTAAGTCCTTAATCATTTGACCTCAAGTAGTGATTCTGAAAGGTGGTAGTTTATTTATACATCAATAATGTCCAGAAAGTGATTGGAAATGATCGTAAAAACTCTGCTCAGCACCAGGTGGTGCTATTCTGCTTTTTTTAAAACTTCCGAGCTACTAAAATATTTACATGCGAAAAGAACAACCTCTGATGAAGGCTAAATGAGTGAGAAAAGCATGTTTTCTTAAGCCAGAAGTCAATTGTGACTGCCTTCAGTGTTTACACTGATTTACACATTTAAGAAGCAGAGGATACTCAGCACACCTGATAGGAAAATTAAAAAGGACTTTAGCCTTTAAAATAATCCTACTCACCTCATGAGTAAACTGGTTACATAAATTGTTTAATCCATAAAAAACTCTACATATGCTTTCTTGAGAGTCTCTCACAAAAAAAACAAAATTCGCTTTAATCCAAAAGTGCTGCCTGTGAGATGGCACATACCAAGTACGTGATTTTTTTAAATTACAGACAGGCTGTCTAATCAATGTTCCAGGATTTTCCTTTCCTTTAGAGTTAAATAATACTGAAATGCAATCTCAGCATTGCTATTACATGAATATATGACAGAACGGCTTTTGCCGGGGGTTGCTGTCAATGATATACTGCAGTGTCAGCCCCAAATATCAATTACCGTAAGTCAGACCATTAACCATTAGGTTTTAATTATGAGATCTGAAAAAAATATAAAAATATGTTTTTGCCTTCTCAGTAGAATCAATAATGTTGAATTTTCATGTTCTACTTTGAAACCAATAGGATTAGTTACAGGAACAATATTCTTCAAAATAATTTTCACGTCTCTGGGAGCTGGACTTGCAAAAAAAAAAAAAAACTACTTTTGTAAAAACAACAAAAAATCAAGAACAAACACTCAAAAGAAGTTTTTGCAAACAAAACCACAATGCAACACCATACTGCTTGCCTTGGGTGAGACAGGCAAACAGGCCTACTTGCTGCTTGAAGGAAGAAAAGAAGATGGAAGGAGTGAACGAAGCTTGAAGGAAGAAAAGAAGATGGAAGGAGTGAACGAAGTCATTGCCTCCAGAAACTAGACAGGTTCAGAAGGTGGGGATAAGAGGCAGAGGGAGCCTTAAATCAATTCTAGAAAATAAACCTGAGGTCAAAGTTCAAGGATTTATTTTTAATTTAGCATGTTTGCCAGACATTCTTATACTTTGCCCAGATGTTCATATAAAACATAAGTTGCCCCTTTTTATGGCTCTCATCTATTTCTCAGAAGACCAGATGGTCACAAACCATATTTATAGACAAATTTACAAGAACTTTACCAGCTTCAATTTAACAAAATCTAATTATGTTTTATGAGACTTTGCAATAAATCAATAATCTAATAATTTTTAGGCTAGCTTTTTTAATGAATTTAAACTCCTCATTTGTACCAAAAACTTTCTTAAAGGAAGTAATAAGAACCCAGAGAATTATTTTAAAGGTCATGAAGTAGGCACATGTTGCCACCCTACTCCCACTGTTCTGCATACTGGAAAGCCTTTGCACAGAGGAACTGAGAGACTGATATGAAATGAGTGACACCATCCTATGCTGCTCTTCAGTTCATCACTCTTTGGGCTAATGATTTACTCATGGACTATTAAGTCTTACTTCCAGGGGTTCTTGTATTGCTGAGTCCTTCAGGTTGTCAAAAGCATTGCCTTTTGTGGCTGGCTTTGCAGAGATCTCAGAATTACAGCAAATTTGTTTGACAGATAAACTGGATCTTCTCTCTTGCTGCTAGAAGGCTGAACTGAAGGCAGACTTGACAACTGCGCATAGTGTTTAGTGCCCCTGCACTAAAGAAGGACAGATCATTAAACCCAGCATGGCTGTGCTAAACATCCTGCTCTCTGTAGTGCAGAGCTGGTACAATACAAGGGATCTAACAGGAGGACAACAGCTTGGGGAATCAAGATAGAGGCAGAAAAGAGTTACTGATGCAGTAACAACAAAATCACTGTTTGGTGAGCTTGGGGGTTTGTTTTTTTTCATTGTTTTGCTGTTGGTTTTTTTTTTTAGTATGCATCTAGCCTCGATTAGAATGAAAAGCAAATCCAGAGCTGGATGTCCATATTTGACCCTGTCAGAAGTGAAAAGTATAATATTGCCTCTACATCCTGTAACCCTGATAGCTGGTTGTAGAAAAGAGGCAGAGCCTGGAATCATCATGGCAAAATACCCTACAAACTCCATCCCTCAAGCATTTACACACAGCAACAGACAAGCAGCAGCAGCCTTAGTATGCATCTTCTGGTGAGAGCCTACCCTGTTATCTGAGAACAAATACTCAGTGCACAAAATTGCCATCACTCTCCATTATTAATCAGGAGAAGATCAAGTAATACTAGAAATAAACCATTATAGGCTTGAAGAATGTTTCTACACAGAATGGCAGAATTTACACATATTTGTTCTTTATGGGTCATGATTCTGAAGAACTATATTCACTAATGTAGATCACTGCTTTTGACTAATCTTTGCTGTTATTTTTCAGTTTTAAGACAGTGGAAGCAGATTTGTTAATGAACCCACTTACCAGAGAAGGTAATATAACACAACACAGGCCAAGCCAGTGTCAATTGAGCAGTTTCTTTTATGAGTTTTCATCCTTTGTGGCAATGTGGAGCCCTGCTTACCTACTACTTCCAAAGATAAACAACATCCTTTTAAAAGTAAAAGGTAAACTACACATGGCCCTGTCAGATTAAAAAAAAAATAAATAAATAAAAATCCTTAGGATGTCAAATCTCTGTATTTTCAGATTAGTAAAAAATGTGGTTCATCATATCCTGCAACAGATATGTGAACTTGACACTCAGCTGTCAGAGTTCATAGCTAGGCATAACAAAATAAATGGAAGTAGACAGGGGTTTAAGTTAATACGTTGGAGTATGAATTGCAGCTGGTAAGATGCATTCTCAGTGGCTGTTCTGCTGCCTCTCAAACAGGGGCAGCTTCAGAAGCAAACGGGTGAGGAAAGATAGAACAGCCAGGACTTGCACTCAAACAACAATTTGCCTTAGCCCTTACTTTGGACGCTGAGTACATTAAGACGTGGTCTCCTTTACAAGCGGGGGGGGGGGGGGGGAACAAACCACTCACAGAAAAAAAGCAACTTTTTATTCAAATTTATCACCAGGACAAAAAATGTCACAGGCAAGAATGATCCATAAAACAAATACCTGCCTTTGTTTTATAAAACAAAGCCTCCCTGCTCAGCACTCCTAATTTCCATTAAATTCTTACAATCTTCTCATGCCTTTGGTCTTGTTCAGTTGGAATCACAGTCAATTCACTTTCATTCAAGCCTCATACTTAACCCAATACTTGGCAAACAACAGCCCCCAGTTAGCTACTGCCAGGGTATTGGACTAGGAAGTATGTGTTGCCTCAAGAGGAGGGGACTGATAAATAATTATCTAATATTTCCCCTTCCAAAATTCAGTGGAAGGACCATCTCATGGCTAATGATATAAATGACAAATCATAAAAGTGAAATAATGATAACTGGATTTCCATGTTGTGCAGCCAGTGAAAGTGGGTTAGTCTTTGATTCCTAGGCATGATAAAACTTACTAGCCAAATCAAGGAAGTCAAAGGTCTTCTAGTATAGCAAAAGTAGCTTTACTACCTTTTTTAGCCTTTTCCAAAAGGGGATTATGATTCAGAAACTTCTCACCCTGTCAGCATAGGAAATAGTTTCATAATTCAGAGCCTAACAACTGCTTCTTTAAGAAAAAAAAAAACACATTACGATCTCAGAAAGAGATCTCTGTCATATATCACAGCCTCACAATACTTTAATTTTTTTTTCTTCATTTTACATTAGAAACTGTTCTTCAGCAAAGCAGAGGGCTTTCATAAGGCAGTTCAACTGGCAGGAAAAGCACCACAAATGGAAGGGGAGCCCAGGCATACTACAGTTATTTGGTGTGCAGGGTGCCTGTTTTTTGTTTGTGGGGGTTTTTTATCATTGATCTGGTTTTAACCTGGTTACATTTCCTTCTTCCCCAGTCACTAAAGGTTTTCTTTCTCTGCACTGCAGAACCTTTTAGTCTTTCTCCAGTTGCATGTATTTCATTGGATTCAGGAAATATGCTCTAATGCCATGTTCTCTATAAGTCAAAGTTAAATACAAGAGCGGACAGACTTCAAATGGAATGGTGACATTCCTTTTGCTATGGCCTACTGCACCCACACTAAAATCCTGCAGAAAATACAATGAAATGGCACTTTGTCTTTTAGTGAAACTTCAATCTGTAAGACTTAACTAAAATAATTTTTGTAAATGTCAAGGGCTGGGGGATTTGCAGAAGCTGAGTTAGAAGATTAATGCTAGCTCAGTACTCTCTCTTCTGTGTGGTTAAAGTAACAAATACATTCAGGAAAAAATATACGGCTCTGAAAGTATCACTTTTGATTTTCTGCTCCTTTTCATTTCCCAGTTGTCATCCACAAACATTAAGCCTAGGCATACTAAACATGTTAGAAGTTGCAATTCATACCTAGGAAAACATTCTATTTGATATTAAAAGTAGCAATTTTGTCTGTTTTATCAGCAGCATGGTGTTGTTGGATCTGCTATTTCAAAAGCTGCACAAAACCTAAATCACCTTTCTTCATTTGGCACATTTTGAGGCCCTCTTTATTTATGTTTACATGTTCTAGTTTTGCTGAGCTGTAAATAATTCTAATAAAGATCTTCACAATCGATGTGAAACCCATGTAAGAGTATCGTATTAGTACCAGATATCATTAAGCTCAGCATTAGGTCAGTAGTTGAAAGGAGCACCAAAAAACCTCCCCTGAGAAAGAAGCCAGGGACAAAGAAAAGCTGACATGCATCTTGGAAAAGCCTTCTGGCAATGCACTGTGATTTCGATGGTAATGTTTGAGGGTTTTGTTGTTTTCTACCAACAAACGCCAACCCTAGAGATGGGTTTTGTGCTGTCCTAAGCAAGCTGGGAAAACACACCCCTGTTGTGGCCAAAATTACACATCTCTGCTCTCTCAGGGCATAAAAATAGTACTAAGATTGAAAAAAAAAATAACGAAGTAAACCTCTACAGCGTTTTGCCCTGCTGCTGTGACATAATGCTGTTCTGAAAACCACATTGTACAGGACTGATGCAAGTCAAAGCCATCCAGATAAACTGCTGAAGTGCCAGATCTGCATGAAATTCTAGCCTAAAATTTATAGTTTCAGTATGCATGTGTAGGGACTTTTGCCTCTCATTTGCATAAGGAAAACACACACAGCACTAAAAGGTCTGGCTAGAAGTTCTTCACTCAGTGCCCACTGCGGAAGCATTATGCTTATTTTGATACTGTACACCTCAAACCCCTCCAGCTACTCTCCATTGCTCGTTAGACACACAAAATCCTTCAATTTCCCTGGCACACCTTAAGTTTCCCTGCCACCATAGCCCTGGCACTACAGATCTTCACAAAGGTTTTATGGTCATAATCCTTGATAGTACTGCTTCTGTTACTCACCTCAGTGGCTGGTGGTGGCTCCCATGTCTTTGATAGGAGTAAAGTTTAGAGGAGACTGTCCTTCTCTTAAAATTTCTAGCTGCACCATAGAAAGCAAGCAAGCAAAATTTGCCAAAGGAAAAATGTCAACACATCTAAATATTAGAGACACACTACTTAGTGAGAATCCCAGCCACAGACTCGTGGTGATTCTGCATTCACCCCTTCCAAACCGAGCTGTTGCCACTGTCTACTCAAGTCAAAGCCTTCAAGAAAGCTGAAGCTTTTATTCCATGTAATGGCCAACATCACATGGAGTCGGGTGCTAAAATATTCAATGGCTTCCAATTTGTTGTCCATTCTGTATTATGCTAATTGTCCTCCCCTTATGGGTCTTTCCGGTAAACAACTTCATTGATGTGTTGCTAGAATTCTCAGACACGATGACTTGAAACTAAACCTGACGCTTTTAATAACTGATTGCAATACTTCATTAACTATTGATCTTAAATTACATATAATTTGGAGGAGATCGATAACCACATCATGAAAAATTCTGAACATTAGAGAAAACACATTTCTTTGTAAAAGGGAGCAGAGAAAATAAATTATGGCAATCCGTGGGTAAGAAATAAAAATGAAGATATGGGTCACACCACTTTTACGCACTCACATCCCTAATCATTCAATGTATTGTGCCGGAATTTTACAGATGGGAAACCAGTAGGGAGTTCTGTAACTCAGTAATGATCTGAAAGCACTTGTTAATTACTGTATTGTGAAAAAGGGAAACAAATACTGGGTGATATTTTGTGGGAGTGATAATTTTTCGTATTAATACTTAAGGAAATAGAATCAACTGGGCAAATCCATTATTTTAGTCAACAGGACAGTAGGCGGGGAAAACTCGTCTCACATAATGGGAGCTGGGGATGGAGCTCTGGGAAAACAAACTACGGCCGCAGTTACGAATGATTTCACTGCGTTTACATGAAACTTGTGTTTTGAGGGTTTGCTAGTTCCTGAGAAGCAATACCGCGCAAGTGTAAGGCAGCCCCCTTCGGCGGCTGGCAAGAAGCCTGGATCAGATCCCGCGGGGGGGCTGGCGCAGCAGACCCCGATCTCTTCGGGACCGGTCCCACCATCTCCCCACCGCACGCCCGGCCCCCAGCGGCGTGAGACGCGCTTCCCCCGAGCCCCGCGGCGTGGCGCCGGTGGGTTTTCGGACCCCGCGGGAGGCGCGGCGGAGGCGGGCGGGTTGAAGGGCTCGCACCTGCCTACGGCCGCCCGCACTCCGGGGCCGCGGGGCAGGCGATGTTCGGGGCGGGCAGGTACAGCATCCCGCGGCCCGTCACTAGGAACCTGGAAGACCTGGACTCGGTGCAGAGCGTCCTGCTGCACAGGTCAGTGGCGAGGACGGGGAGGTGGCTTCTGCTCCGCGGGCGTCGCTGCTGGGGGTAACCGCGGTCTGCCTCCCAGGGGGCCGGTAGCGAAGCCCGCGGGGCTCCCCGCGGGTGCCTTCTATTGTGGAGGCGGGAAGTGAGCGGGGCCGGGTGCAGCCGCCTCTCACCTTCCCCGGGCGCCGGCGGGGCGCGGGCGGGGGGTGGCGGACGGCGAGAGCCGGAGCCGCCCCTGTGCTCATGGGACGGGAAGGGGGGCTGCCAGCCGGGCACCTACTCGCCAGCGGGTTTCCCTCCGTCGCTCCCTGAGCAGCGGGGACCCGCATGCCCCCTGGAAAGGTGCCCTGCAGCCCCAAGGCAGGACTACTGCTGGAGCTCTAACGCGCTCAAGGAAACGGGCTGACAGAAGGAAACTCGGCAGCGTCAATTCCGTAATGACTTAGACCTCTTAGAACCCTCTTTAGGGGGAGAGAAAAGAAATCCTAAGTGCACACAAATTTACTATGGGCAACGCAAGAGGCAGGCTGCATGAGAAGCAGCTTCTTCCTGCCATGCTTCACCGTCCCTAACGTGCAATTCTCCACGGTGTCCCCCTACAAAGACATCTCAACTATAAGACCGTGCCCACAGTCAGTGCCATTTTCTTTGTGCTAGGCGAGAGCCACTTAAACTTGTCAAGGAAAACCCCATCCCATTCAGCAGTGCCCAAGAGAAGCGCATCTCCAGTTGTTCTGTAAAGTGTTCATTTCCTAATGTGTTTTCTCGGCTGCACTGATTTATCTCTCACCCAAAGAAGTATGCTTTCTTTTAGTGCTAACTCCAAACAGCTCTTGCTATGGGAACTAGCAACTATTAACTCAGCTTCTCTCCAGCTCAAAGCATCAAACTGAATAGTCACTTAAAATCCATTCCTGTGAACATTGAGGATGAAAACGCTGAGTACAGCAAGGTGGGCACACCGGAATCGGCCTGTTCCTGCATTCCACTCTGAAGCTGCTTTATAAGCAGTAAATGTGCTCGGTTGCTTACAGGAGACCCTCTGAAGCCCTGTGCAATATGTTTGTCAGTGACTTAACTGAGAATGTTCCACTTCAAAGGAGGATTAAAAACATGCTGACCCATGGTACTGCTTATATTAGTATATTCTCAGTGTAGTATGGTTCTATCATACTCGAAACACTTGTATGTTGACTGACTGCAAATAATGGTTCTCTTTCATGCTTGACATGCTTGCTATGCAGAGCAGGTGATCCTAAAAAAGCCCTGTAGATTTACAATGAAGTAAAAACAGTAGGAAAAAAAAAATCTTACTTGAAATAACAGCTGCTTTTCATGTTAGAGGGAACTCAGCGCTGTAAGGCTGTTTTCCAAAAGAATGGGATGGGTTGAGCTCATCTTCCCAAATGCTTCCTGACTGTCTTCTGTTGGTTCTGTGTTCTTCTTGTAAAATACTTTCCCTCATGCAATTGCATAGAGGGAAGTTCATACAGAAAGCCTGGAAAGTCAGAACAGTATATTTTACATAGTGAGCACTGGAGTGTTTTCTCAAATGATTTCTGTTCCTTTGGTCTGAAGGTAGCCTTTATTCTCCATTTAGTCTGTTTATATGTAAATAACCCAATAAAAATGACAGTCCAGCATCACTATTCAATCATACCATCTTGCAATATTGCATGTCTCTATGCAGTAATGTGAGAAAAGTTGTGAGAAGATCTTTTTTAATCTCAATCTTAATTCATGTAGTTTTATGTAAACCTTGTAATCACAAAATCTTATTTATGAAGGAATGCCTGTGAAATGTGCCTTTTGTCTCTTAAAAAAAAAGACTTTGACGGAGTAGGGGAAAGCTGTATGGCTGTCATTAATCTCTAAAAAAGAGAAACTTCTGTCTCATTTTTCTGATGTTGTGCACTGGAGGAATAAAAAAGTCAGTAGGAATCAATGGCTGAAAAGTTCGTAATGTCACTCTTTAGCAATCCAATTTTTTTCTTAGTTTTTCTTTAGTTGTTTGAGTAAATCATGTGTTAGCTGCAAGGAACAGACCTGTTACATAGACATGAAAATATTTTCCTCTTAGTTTTATCTGCTTGTGATATATCATGTTAAATCTGTAACATCTCATGTTCTGTCTGTCCAGTTGTTGGTGGAGCCTTTCAGAAAATACTATCTGCTTGGAAAACAATGAAACAATAAGAAGTCAATTCTTATTTCTTTATCAGTAATGAAGAGCTGTAATTTGAAGTTTGGAAGGAGAGGGAGAAAAGCAAAGGGATGCTTAGATCCAGCCAGTATAAGTTAGATTCAACTACAGTCCAGCTTTATCCAGTGGGATTTGTCTTGCAGTAGTACCGTGGCCTGTTTACAGTGCCTGCACTGTACAAAAGATCTAGAAAGCTGGAAGTTGAACTCTCCCTGTTTGCAGCACTGCACTCTATGCTCATCCTCACCCATGCTGGCATTAAGCAGGGGAAATGACCCTGATGAAGAAGGGGAGATTGATGAAAAATGAGAGATCTGATATAGTTCCTGGCTAGTGCATTGGCACCTCACAGGCATAAACCAGGCACTCCTAATTATCAGGTAGCATTCACTTACAGCAGAGGGAGTGTTAGTTTGCCTCAGTGTACCAGAGGTGTAACGCTGCCCCTGTTTTCAGCCATGTTGGGAAGAGCTCAGCTACATCCACGCCTGCTGATTGTGAATCAGTGAAATCAGTCTAGCACATCATCAGTGAATCATGGGTCCCAGTAAGATTGCTAAGATCACGCCTGATTGTACAAACATGACAAGTTAGTCATAAATACTAATCCTAAATTTCCCTGTGCTCTTTCATCAAGCTGCTAGGAAAGACTGTAACTCCAGCCTTGTTTCTTCATTATCGAGTCAAAAAAATCAGCTTTCAGTATGTAACAATATGAAAAATGCTAGTAGCTTAAATTGGACAGTGATTGGAGTAGGGATTCTCAAGTATCCACGGAACAGTGCTAAAAAGTAGAGTTATGCTCTACTTACTTTCCTCCTTTATTAGAAAGGACCTGTGTATCTTTCTGGTGTGTCCTATACTGTCATCTTTTAACTATGATCTCTTCCTGAATATCAGTGTGGATCAAGGCAGAGTGTTATTTTTAAAATGCACTAGATTCTTGAAGCATGTTAAGCCAAAAAAGTAAAAAGGAACTCTTGTTCTGAAATGAATTTCCACACATGGATTTAGTTCCTTGCAGGAACAGCTGATCAGAACAACCTTAAGGCAAAAGAGAGTGTTTTAATTATCCACTTTTAAATGCTCATTAACCAGTTGTCCAGTAAAGGTGAGTAGCAGTATTGATGCCAATAATGCCTTGTGGCAAATTTTTACCATCTGCTTGTTGATAACAGCAACCTCGCATTGAGAGTTCCTTAGTGAGAAGCATCAGCCCAACTTTTGGACTAAGTGTAAAGAATCTGCCAGAAGACAAATTATTTCAAGCCTTTTTCTAATATTTATGCACAATAAATGAGAGGCTTTCCTCTCAGGAGGGGTTGTGTGGGAAAATCTGTGCCTTCACTAAAATAAAATCCTGCTGTGTGAGATATGTCTTGCAATCTTTAATTGTTCCCACAGCAGCAAAAATTCCACATTTATTTCAGAAGAACATTTAGGTGACTCCCAACTACCTCCCAGAGGACTAGGATCTTCCATTGTCCTTTCCTTCATGATACGGTTATCCCTAGAAAATAGCAAGTAGTGTAATACTGCCACCTCCTTTTTAGAGAGCCTGTTTTTCTCACTCACAAAGCAAACAACTGGAAGCAATTAGCCAACTCTTGAACTCAGTGAAATTTAACATAACTAACACGGGACCATCTGGCACAGACTATCACTTCTCTACAGAACCACTTTAGTGTGCTGTTCAGTGTATCAAAAATGCTTGCAAATAGAAGCAGAATTAGGGAGGGTGGGACTGTATCTCACCTACCTCTATTAAAATTCTAACTCCTGCAGTATTCCTCTTAGAAAATCATAACACGTCAGGCTCTTTGGGAAATGCTGTTCATGCAGACTGTTTTGTTTTCACAAGGTATATTATCTGGGAAGTGAGGGTACTTTAAAATATTTTTTCCACCTGTTCTTCTGGAATCAATAGAAAGAACAAAAGCTGGTGCGTATCTTGTGTTCTGACACTTGGAAACAACCACAGAGCTCTCT